ACATTAAGTCCTGCAGAGGGCAGTATCGAGTCGAGTTAAGGGAAGTGCATGAGCAGTGAGTGAATGAGGCAGTCAGCATCCCTGTCCCCTGCTCACTATGAAGGGCACAAGCTCTTAAAGTGCCACTCTGAAGGAAGCATTCGCTGCTGCAAACAAAAATACATTTATATTTACATATATTTTAATTATACATTTTATATTTTAATTATATTGCCTCTCCGTCTTATTTGAAATTACTAACTCTTTTTAAATATTATATTTGTGAGGTGGCCTATTCCAGCAAATTCCCACAGAGAGAGGAGGGTGTGCAAATAAAGATTTTTTTTTTATGATTAAATAATATAATATAATAAGCAATATAATACTTAGCATCTCAACTAGTCATGAACTTGTATTAGGGTACTTCAATTACACATAGCTGGGTCCCAGTTGAAATTTAAATGAATGAAGTCAATAAAGTAAATTTCTCCTGCTGTCTCACAGAAAATTCAGTTCTGTCCAGTTCATGAGGTCCTCAGATTTGGGTTCATATATATATATATATATATATAAAGCTTGCAAATGACCAGTTTGTTCTTACACGAAGGTAACCAACATCTAAAAGGTTTTTATGGTGTTGCTTTCAACTTTTTGTGTGTCGTTGTTATAATTTCTCATGATGTAAATGTCATGTTTGAAATAATATAAATAGCTGCAGGTTTTATGATAAATTCCATTGCAGTCGACAGTTTTTTTTTCCCCTTGTAAACAAAACATTATGCAAACATTGTATTAAAGCATTGTGGTCTGGTTGTAAAACAAGGATTAATATTAAAATAAGTATATATATATATATATAAACATTTGCATTAGAATTTACAGATTATATTGTTTTACACACATGTTGAACTTAGGTTTGGCTTTGTTTTTGAGATAAAAAGGATGTTTTTGGGGCATTCTTAAAGAAAATTGACCAAGTACATAATTCTACAACGTTGCCAAAATGTTTTATTTTAGCAGTGTAAAATTAAATAAAAAGATTGATTTGTGACCAAAATCTCAAAATGATTTGATTACATTATTTTTAAAGTGATTTCTAGAAAGTTTGTGCCGCAACGTGACCCAGCTGCAAACAAAATACAACCTTTTTGTAAAATGTAATTATTGAATGGTGGAAGAGACCAACACTGTGACTAAAAAGCTCAATCGTTTTTCTTTTTTTTTTTTATGGTGATCTTGAAAAATGGTGTGGAAAATGAAAATCTTTTGATGAATTCAGAGAATTCAAGAGATATAAGTTTTGATACAATGGTGGGAAAGAGCTTATATAAAGTTTGTGTGAAGGTGATAAATAAAGAATAATTAAAGTGTGTGGATACACCTTGGAGAGATCATTTAAGTGTTGATACTGAACTCAAACCTTGTTGGGGCTATTGTTATAAACCACCACTGACTAAAAATGTGGGTGATCTCCAATGCTGAATTTTAGGGATCATTGTTGTAAATGCTTTTATCTGAACACAAATGTGCAAGATAAATGTCCTTTTTGTGGTGCAAGAGAAACCATATTTCATTGTTTTATCTCACTCTCTCTCACTCTCTCTCTCACTTTCTCTCTCTCTCTCTCTCTCTCTCTCACTCACTCACACACCTGTAAAGAGAGACGGACACAGAGCCAGTCATGTGGATGCCATGTTTGGTCCATTCCATTCCCAAGCAACAAACACTCTGATTTCTCGTCTCTGTCTGCTGACAGTTAGGACCATCTCTGCAGATTTCCCAGGAGGATTAAGGGGACGCTCATAAGATAAAATGTGTCTGCGGTGAGGGAGGCTTGGACTGACACAGATGTGTCCATGCATAATGGTCTGAAACTGCAAAGTGGCAGTGAAAGCATTTATCTAAAAGAGCTCACCTCACCAGCACTATAAAAACAGATACTGTGCAATTGCTATCTTAAGGAGCTATTTCGTCTATTTCTATGCATCTGATCTGACTCTTTAAAAATATTTTTGTTGGTATAGCCTAATGTAGTTATTCAGTAATAAAAAAAAATGACATTTAGCCTTGAGATAATGGCTTAGAACAATTTACATGATATTAAATAAACACTTTTAGGTCACCCTATTTTTAGAGGCTGTCTTCATACTAAGCCAGTGGAAAAGATTGCTTAGGTTGTGCATAAAGAGCTAAAAGAATGTCATTCAAAACAGATACATCCTAATGATAGAAAAATAAAAAAATATGGTCTTTAAAAATATGACGTAGGACATTTCAATAGAAAAAAACATATACAACAACGTTTGGGAGGTTGGTCAGATATGTTTTTGGAAGAAGTATTTTATGCTCAATAAGGATGCATTTATTTGATCTGAAATACAATAATACTCTAAAATATCACTACAATTTAAAATAACTTAAGTTAAATATATATATATGTGACCCTGGAGCACAAAACCAGTCATAAGGGTCCATTTTTCAAAATTGAGATTTATACATCATCTGAAAGCTGAATAAATAATGTTTGTTTGTTATGATAGGACAATATTTGGTTGAGATACAACTATTTGAAAATCTGGAATCTGAGGGTGCAAAAAAATCTAAATATTGAGAAAATCATCTTTAAAGTTGTTCAAATGAAGTTCTTAGCAATGCATATTACTAATCAAAAATTAAGTTTTGATATATTTACGGTAGGACATTTACAAAATATCTTCATGGAACATGATCTTTACTTAATATCCTAATAATTTTTGGCATGAAATAAAAATGTATAATTTTGACCCATACAATGTATTGTTGGCTATTGCTACAAATATACCCCAGCGACTTAAGACTGCTTTTGTGCTGCAGGGTCACATATCTGCTGAATGAAACACTTGTTTCTTACTAATTTTGTGATGCTGATTCCAAAAAAATAGTGGTCTTGCATGTCACATTTTCTCACTAAATATGTGACCCGTGCTGGCAAAATGAGTGTGAATGCGCACGGGCTGAAAGTGAAAAATGTCGAATTTGAGGTTTTCACAAAAATGAGTTCATTAAGCCCTCTTCTAGCGATCCCTATGCTCTAAATTGATTTGCTGCTCAAGAAACATTTCTGATTATTATCAATGTTGAAAACAGTTGTGCTGCACAATATTTGAGGAAAATTGAGTCTATTTTTTTTTTTTTAATAAAACATTTCAATATCTTTAAAGTTTTCTTTTAAGATTTAAGATTCATTTCATGGCTGCTTTGAATATCTGGAATTTAAGAAAATGAATGGAAGTGAATGGATGTTATGGAATGCAGACTCAGAAACAGTGAAATGCAGTAACTGTTCTTTATTTTGAAGCTCAGAGCGCAGGTGAGGAAACGGGACAATGATAGCTTTAGTTGAGATGGATGATAATAAAACGTCTTTTTCTTACAGTTGTTGGAGATCGTGGATGACTGAAGCAGGCAGATGGTGGAAGCACACACACACACACACACACACACACACACACGAAGGACGTTGGTGTGTGTGATTAGCTTTCTGGTGAGAGTGAGCGCTGTGATTGTCTGGCTGGTCTGTGACAATAGCACACCCAGACCACTGGGGGAGCACTGTTTCTGTAAAGCACATATCTAACAGGACTTTTCTAATTGGTGGATTGTTCTTTAGGATTCTGGGAAGTGTAGTTTGTGACCAGGAGATTTTGAAAGGCATTCTTTCTACTGGACCGTGCTGTTGGGCTTTTAGTAATATGGTTGCAGGCATGTTGATACACATTTAGTAATGCGAGTACAGGTATGTACAATATATGCATATAATGTCCACAATGTAATGTAGCACAAATATTAAATTAAATTAGCATTTGTTTTGGTTAACATTGCACATTAAAGATGTGCAAATCCTAAATGTAAGAGGTGAACATGTGTGTGTCTACACAGTGATTAAAGTTGGACAAAACATTATGAGAACTGTCAGTGCAAAATAGAGTATTGCTTTTTTATGAACAATAACAACAATAATATTAATATTTGACAAAAGCCATATTTTTTCTCAATGCACAGTTAAAACATTTTTTGCTGTTTCAATTAATGAGCAGTGCATTTTTTTACAGTATTTATTAATCTTTGTTAATGTTAGTTAATGAAAATACAGTTATTCATTGTTTGTTCATGTTAATGCACAGTGCATTAACTAATGTTAACAAGCACATGTATTAGTAAATGCTGAAATTAACATTAACTAAGATCAATAAATGCTATAGAAGTATTGTTCATGCTTAGTTCATGTTAAAGCTAATACAGTTAATTACTGTTAACTAATGAACCTTATTGTAAAGTGTTACCAAGATATTCTCAAAAATGTCGGTTTTGTTTGTTTGTTTGTTTTTTACATACAATGAAAGTCAATGGGTTTGATGTTTTCAGGACCCGAATGTTCTTAAAAATGTCTTATTTTGTATTTCACAGCTTTAAATTATTATTATTTTTTTTTTGGTCACGCTTTAGTTTGCCCAATTCTCACTATTAACTAACTATTAACTATGACTTTCCCCTCAATAACTCCTAATTAGCTGCTTACTAACAGTTAGTAAGCTAGTTGTTAAGTTTAGGTATGGGGTTTAGGACTAAGGGATCTAAAATATGCTCATGCAGAATAAGACATTAATATGTGCTTTATAAGTGATAATAAACAGCCAGTAATATGCATGATAATAAGCAACTACTTAATATATAGAAGTGGTCCTTAAAATAAAGTGTTACTTTTATTGCTACTTTTTAGCCACATGAAGCACATTTGGTTAGCAGACAAACATTTAGTTTTTCCCTGCGTATTCAGGCTAATTGTTGTGTCTTTCTGAAAGCGCTTATGAGCCAAGGTGTCTAGGTTTTGAGACAAAGCTAATATGAACACATTTTTAATGCACTTAGTATTGCAATTAATTAAAGCCTACTTGCACGTGATCTGTGCGACTGTAACAGATTCCCGGCGGAGATTGATGAGCATCCCCCTCCCCAGAGCTCCTGGTGTTTCTATAGTAAGTCCAGCCAATGATCAGCTGGTGTCCGCATCCCCATCCTCCTCCTCCTCACCTCAGCACCACACACAGCGACAGGAGACACCTCACGTCCACGGACAACACACTCAACCCGGACTCCATCACCAACATAAAGCTTTCCTTCTACTTTTCCTCGCGTGAAGAATGGCGTTTCGTGCGTGCTGGATGGAGTTTTTGTAGTGATCCCTCGGAGTGTGTTTATTGTGTGTTCATCGCAGTAATGTGCTGCACTAGTGTCTGGATTGTCTGGTAGGTGATGCTCTTTCATTTTTTCCTCTCGCTTAGCGATAGTGGCGCGTGCTTTCTGAATGTCCAGTGTTTTATTATTTATTTCGGGTGGTTTCGAAGGCGCCAGAGTGATTAAATCTCATTATGCAATTTGATATGAATGAAGCGACGGCATTGCACTCAACCTCTTTCTGTCTCCTCTGACTAACGGATATTTCTTATTTTTCAAACTTTGTTTACAGCTTGAAAATCAACGGTTTAAAGCACCTCGTGCACAGAAAGATTAAAATTAAACAGCGAATTTGATATGAATGAAGCGACGGCATTGCACTCAACCTCTTTCTGTCTCCTCTGACTAACGGATATTTCTTATTTTTTAAACTTTGTTTACAGCTTGAAAATCAACGGTTTAAAGCACCTCGTGCACAGAAAGATTAGAATTAAACAGCCATGATAATAATAGTAAATTAGTAATTTGCATCATCAATACATTGCACGTTGTTTCTCAGAACAGAAAACTTCTTATGCTTGTTAGTGTAAAGTGATATTTGATAGCCAGTTTTGTTCTGCTAGCCTTTAATTAGGAAGTTATAAAGCAGCAGGAGCCTCTTTAACAAACTTAGTAAAGAACATTACTGGCTTCATGTGAGGTCTCAGAGGGGTCTCAGTTATGAATGCTTATCAAGTATTGTCTCAGGTGGAAATGCACCATTCATTTCAGAACCAGACGTTCACAGAGCTTTGAATGGTTGTAGTCGTCTTGCAATGTAGCACATGCAGTCAGCGAGAGAGGCTAGTGAAAGGTAATGCAAGTAGAGGAAGATGTGTCTAATAGGCTTTTATCTGTGGCAACAAAACCCAGCCAGACTGGGAGATTGGAAATGGTTCTCCCACAAGGTCTGAGACTTGGCTGGAGCGAGCCTCACAAAGTATCGTTGTATCAGTGTGGTTTATTTTCCAACATATTTTCTATAAGAGCTTTGTGCTTGATGCAGGACTTCTCAAGTTTGATAGAAAATCCAAAAGTGTGTGAATGTTTTGCTTCCGTTATGATGCTGCTTTAATTTTTTAAGCTTTGGTCCTATACGATAATTAATATAGTAAATACTCTAATTTCACCTTTTGTTTATGGGAAGTCAATGTACTGATTTTTGTTCACTCTTGGCGGTGCAATCATATGACTTTCAGGTATGATTATGTCTGTTTCCTATTGTTATGCAACATTAAAGTGTAATAGCTACAACAATAAGTCACGAGATAAGAATCCAAAAGCGACAGGGAGAAAGTAACGAAATTGACCATTTTAACTTCGGATGATGCGCAGGAAATGTTTGTCACTTGTATCCGTAATTGTTGTTCTCTTGTTTTAGCGGAGAGGATAAACCGGGATGGTAACGTGTTGTGTCTAACGAGCTTCGCCTTGACAAAAAGCACCCGCCACCCTCCCTCGAATATTTCTTGTGAGCGCTCGAAACTTAGCAGTCATGTCTAATCTTAACAATGCACTTTGCATCGAAAGCGGCCAGAGCCCCGACGTGTCACTCCTGCAAAAGGATACTCTTCAGGACGTTGGATTAAGCCAGCTGTTGGATTACAATGCAGAAATGGAAAGGTACAGGTCGTTTGCAAACTTTTACAAAAGCAATGGGGCATTTCCACAGACTGCTAAGATCGCCCGCATAACGACACCAATTTTTCCCAGCGCCAGAATTGGCATGTCCCCTTGGAACTGTGATAACGCCATGCTCTGGGGAAGGAAATCAGCAGCAATAAACCCTAATAGGACCGGCATGCATAGAAACGACTCCCAAAGGCCGGGGAAACCTGGCGTGCCGCCAGAGACGCTGCAAATGGCAAATAATAATTTCCTCTCTAGCTTATCCCCCGAGCACTGCAGACCTTTAGCAGGAGAATGCATGAACAAGCTGAAATGCGGTGCTGCTGAAGCAGAGATAATGAATCTCTCGGAACGTGTTGGAACTTTTTCCGCTATTCCGGCTTTAGGGGGCATCTCATTACCTCCCGGGGTCATCGTCATGACAGCCCTTCACTCCCCCGCAGCCTCAGCAGCCGTTACAGACAGTGCGTTTCAAATTGCCAATCTGGCAGACTGCCCACAGAATAATTCCTCCGGAAACCCGGCGAAAAAGAAAAGGAAACGGTGTGGGGTCTGCGCGCCCTGCAGGAGGCTAATCAACTGTGGAGTGTGCAGCAGTTGTCGGAACCGTAAGACGGGCCACCAGATCTGCAAGTTTCGGAAATGCGAGGAGCTAAAAAAGAAGCCTGGCTCATCGCTAGAGGTGAGTCACCACACTCTCCCTCCGTGCACTCAGAAGCATTAACCTTTCCTTCTAGTCACGTTTCTAAGCCCTTGAAAATTGTTTCCATGCCCACCCATGCCTGAACATCCCCCCGGCTTCTCAAATCTGCCTACCCGCCTAGCCTAATTGGCAGTAATTAGGGGTGTTTGTGCGGAGCGCAAGCTGAGCTTGGCTCAGACACCCCTAATTGCTGCCAGTCAGGCTGGGGCTGGAACGCATCCGAACAACCCAGGGCTTGGCTCTGCTCCAAGCTGAGCTGGGAAATGGTTTTCAGCAGAGAGCCATCCTTCTCTGCACTTGGTCATTTTATCGAGAGCCATAGGAAAATTCCTGCTGCCGTTCTTCTATCGCGCTTGGGATGCGGAAATCCTGGAATCTCATCCTAATAATGTCCTTAAATGACGAAAACAAAATGGTAAAAACAATCCAAAAAAAAAAAAAAAAAACAGTAATCAATTCTGTTTATTATTTTAAAATATATGTGACCCTGGACTGCAAAACCAGTCTTAAGTGTCAATTTTACAAAATTGAGATTTATGCATCATCTGAAAGCTTTGTTAGGATCGGACAATATTTGGCCGAGATACAACTATTTGAAAATCTGGAATCTGAGGGTGCAAAAAAATCTAAATATTGAGAAAATCGCCTTTAAAGTTGATCAAATGAAGTTCTTAGCAATGCATAAAGTTTGGGGGTCAGTGACATTTTTTTTTTTAAAGAAATTAATTTGATCCTTAAAGTGACAGTAAAGACGTATTCATTAAAACAGTACAGTTAAAGATCTATTCAAGAAAATGCTGCTCTTTTGAACTGTTTGAAACATTTATAAGAATGAAAGAAAATTTACTTGAACACCAAATCAGCATAATAGAATGATTTCTGAAGAATTATGAGCCACACTTTATTTTTATGGTCCAATTCTCATTATTGACTAACTATTAACTCTGACTTTAGCCTCAATAAACTACTAATGTTCTGCTTATTAATAGTTAGTACGGTAGTTGTTAAGTTTAGGTATGGGGTTTAGGATTACGGGATCTAGAATATGCTCATGCAGAATAAGCCATTAATATGTGCTTTATAAGCACTGATAAACAGACAATATACTAGTAATAGGCATGATAATAAACAACTAGTTAATATATAGAATTGGTCCCTAAACTAAAGTGTTACCGGATCATGTGACACTGAAGACTGGAGTAATGATGCTGAAAATACAGCTTTGCATCACAGGAATAAATTGCTTTTTAGAATATATTGAAATAGAAAACAGCTATTATGCGTTTAAATACTATGTAACAATATTCTCTTTGTTTCTCCACTTAGCATGTGAGGAAATGTGGAGTGATCTGAGTTTGCTGTGAGACTGATTAGCATCCTTAGCCCACACACAGCCTTCATTAATTTATACTGAGCCAACATGTGTAATGACCGGCAGAAGAACCATGTGCCTTTACACAAGACACATACAGACTAAAATATACTATTTTTTTTTTCAATTTATAATTGACTTGCTCCCAACTATTAACAACACACAAACACGCAGTGACACACACACACACACACACACACATGTATGTAGACCCAGCTGATTGCACCTTTACCTGCTAACAAATGATAAACTCCCAGCAAGCAGCTGGATGTTGCTGTCAGTGTTTTGCACCTGGGAATCACCCTGAACTAATTATATCTTAAGCGGCAGTGGGAAATGCAAATTAGAATTTTACTTACACCCCTGAAATCGGAGAGCCAATTTAATCTAATACCGCCTTTAATTTAGCGCGCTAATGCAAGACCCCGGAGGATTACCCTGTGACACTGCTTTGCTCTCTCTCTCTCTCTCACACCCCAGAATGGATTAGTCTAGCAGAGTCATCTTATCTTTCCTAACATTTCCTGAGCTTGCTTTGGGTACAGTAATGCTCCAGGTTAGTCAGATAGTCTGAGCGTCGATTCTGATGCTTTTTAAAGATGTTGATCAAATGCTGTGTGCATACATAAGCCAGGATCTATAATGGAAAGTGATTGGTGTCCCTGATGATAATGCATGCTGCATAAAGGGCGTGAAGCAACTGATAATTCTCTTTTGCCATAAAAACATGAACAATGCTGTATAGTGTGAAATGCAAACAAAAAATGCAATGTTTTTTATGATAATGCACGAGGAAATATTTAGTGATTCTTAGTGAATTAGTGATTCCTTAGTGATCATGAGAGATACAGCAGCTTAAATGCTACATAAATTATTGAAATTTTGCTGGAGGAAATTAAGTGGAAGACAAAGTATTTTGTTTGTTCCATGAATAGGGCTGTTTTTGCCTGTAAAAGTCTTTAGGCTGATTAGCTGACATACAGCCTGCTGGGATAAATGAAAGTAATAGTGCACTTACAAATTACTATTATGTTTGAATTTATTCACACACATCATTCAAAACCATATATACAGTATGTACAGTAAATGACAAGCTCCAAATATTACAAAAAAAGCACTGTGACTTCTGTGCTTCTGTGACAGAATGACTTCTATTATAGGGCACTATATTCTCACTATTTATGTCTTCTGAATCTGAATCATACTGTAGCTTTGTGTGAGGAGTTCACCATATATATATATATATATATATATATACAGTATGGGTTAGGTTGTATATACACACACATATATATATTCATTGAATAATAGTTTAAAGAGATTCACCCAAAAATGATAATCCAGTCATCATTTACTCACCCTCATGTTGTTCCAAACCTGTATGACTTTCTTTCTTCTGTGGAACATAATAGAAGATATTTTGAGAAATGATGGCAACCAAACAGTTTTGGTTCCATACATTGTATTGTTTATCCTGTGTGTGTGTGTGAGTGTGTGAGTGAGTGAGTGAGTGAGTGTGTTTTGTCCATTTAAGTCAATGGTCACTAAAACTGGTTACCAACATTCTTCAAAATATCCACAGGTTTGGACTGATGAAATGACATTAGGGCTAGTAAATGATACAGTGATATGACAGAATGATATGACAGAATTTTCTTTATACTTTATACTATTATTAGTATTACACTATATATGTATCTTTCCCAGATCCACAGTTTTCTAATCTTATGTATGCTTAAAACTTTAATTTAAAGAGATGTTTTTTGTTGGATGTACTGATTTATTTATTTATTTATTTTTGCATAAATCGCAGTACTCTAGTCTACACATTGTGCTAAAACTTTGTTGCTGAATTTATTGTTTTTTCTTGTGCTACCAATTAAGAGCGAAACACAATCAGCCATGCTCTCCTCTGACCTGGCCTGATTTAACATCTCCAGTTCAGTGGCGAAAGCAACTCATTGTCAGTGGCCGTTTCCTGGGCTGGCGGACCAGTGGAGGATGGTCAGGTGAAAGTGTAGCTGCTGGGAACGTTAATGTGTGGCACTTTAAATTTTAAACAGGTGACTGTAAATAATTAATGGCTAGCTCTGGCTGAGAAGTTAAATGGTTTCTCATCATTGCAGTGACCTGTTTGAAAATGCTTCAAGGGGTCTTAGAATTTACATTGAGGCCATAGATAATTTGACAACATTTCAGACCGTATTTCAGTAACTTTACAGATTTAGTTAAAGGTACATTAAGAAAAAAAAAAAAAAAAAAAACCTAAAGAAATTAAAAGTACTTTAGACACATGTTAAAAATGGTCACATGAGATCAAGGCCATAAAAAAAAAACTTTATCATACTTTTTAAAAAGAGTACTTATGATGGAAATAAAAGAATGTGCAAACTGAATTTAATGTTTTTGGACACTCAAATGCATCTTAATTGCAATTAAATGAAAATGTATTAAAATTTAGATGCATGTTAAATGCAATTAGCTTTTAAGAACGTTAGAGTGTCTTTGGCCACTTAAATAGGACTTAAGTACATTTTCATATATATATATATATATATAATTTCATAATTACTTCTATTGTCTTTGAAATAAAAAATATACCACCAAATGTACTTATATGCGTATATGGTCATCAGAATATGCTTTAATGTAATTTCTGTTGAAACTTGTATGTCATGTAGTTACAAATATCTTTAATAATGCATTTGTAATGATGAAGTTGAATTTGAGTACATTTCAAATATAACATTTAAATGTAATAGCAAATAACACATTACAGTTAAAATTATAATCAACATGTGCTTTAGTATGTTAGTAAAAACATTAAAATAAATGCACTTTAAAACATGTCTAAAGATTACTAAAACGGTGCTTTAAAATTAACTTTAAACTAAATTAATTAATTAATTCATGTCTTTTTTAAGCACCGATAAACACAACAGCAGTTGACCACAGTGCTGTACAAATAAGATAAAAACAATGAGAAAAAATAATATCAATACAATCTATAAATAATTTCACTTTTAAACTCATTTAAACAGAATTTTCATATTATTACAAAGTGCACTTTTTTTTTAAAAGGAAAGAGTACTCTATAAATACACTTAAGTGGCCTTTTATTTCATTATTAATGTATTTTCTGCTGGTACAGTTTTTTAAATACACGTTTAAGTTTTGAAGTGCACACTGAATACTATTAAGTGCACTGGGTAGTAATCATATCAGTGGCATAAAAAAACTATTATTCTCTGTAAGTGTGATTATGCTTCATTGTTGCTTCCAAGCTGGTTTGACCACAGAAATACTACTTACTTTATTTACATCGCCCATGTATTATCTGGTAATGTTTTTGCAGGATAAATTAATTGAGTTACAAATACTCATGTGAATATGGGGTTTTGTCTTATTTTGAAAACTTTTGCCTTTGCTTGACGTTTTGTTTGCGTCAACCTGCAAAGCCGCATTTGACAGATTGTGACAGCCAGAGTTGTATTAAAAATTAAGCCTTTTTATATTTACTATGAAAAAGTGAGGTTTTAATTTAGGCTGATGCATGGCAGCAGTGTTGTTTCTGCTCTGCGGTGTTGTCTTCATGCTCTGCACTTGA